GCTCAAGGCACCATACATAACATACCCTTCTCTTGTTTTTCCCCACAACTATACAACCTCTAGAGGTAAGTTGGGCAAAAGAGAGAGTGACTGGAGCAAAATCATCTGGTCTCCTATCCAACACCTCATCCAGCATCTTAACCACTACACCATGCTGACTCTTAGGAGCTGTTTGCTAATGGTTAACCTAACAACTACCTAACCTTCAATTAACCATTCCCATGAGTGGTCTGTTCATGTTTATCAGTGCTTATTCAATGTTTATAATGTACATTTGATCCTTGGACCTTAATTTGCCTCCTTTCGTTCTATGAACTGCTGGTTGCAATTTTTGTATTCATGGAAGAGCCCTGATCTTACATGAACTTTGCTCTTCTAATATTATGCTACTTACAAAGACAACCATTGCCTGAGCACAGACTTGCAAGGGGTAATACAGGCTGTATTTATTCGGTATGTTAGTGTGCTCTCAACACCTGAAAATGCGGCCACCTGGAAGCAGCCTAAGTCCAACCAGGATTGGATTATTTTTGCCGTCTGTGTCCAATCCATGTATATAGTATTTCTCCTACCACATACATTCTCTCCCACAGTAAGGTTACTGTTTCTTTTACTGTATTCTCAGTGAATCAAAGACAATCTTCCATTTTGAAAATAAATTATTGGGGTCAGAGGATGGAGGAATCTAGTCCCTTTGAAGTAGAGGCAATACACAGTCACAATATACACAATGTGTAAGTCAGATGTTCAACTAACCACAGACTCCTGCGTGTCCCTAGGCAGATCAAACAGTTCTGTTTTGCCTGCTGGAAATGGTCTGAGTTCATACTTTGTCAGATCTTGAAAAAAGGAGTTCCAGAATCCCAGAACCACCAGCGAGGGTACCGCCCAAAATGCTATGCAGGGCAACAGGTTTGCTCACATTGACTGGGCATGTTTACTTGGAAATTAATCCCATAGAATTTAATAACACTTTCTTCTGCATAAGACTGCAGAGGATTATAGCCTTAGCTGTTTGATTTGATGTACCCATCATTTCTGTTTACTTCTAAATGTAATCCTGTCCTTAGTGGAGTCTTCTTAAAGTACGGGGCAGTTTTGATAAATTGCCTGTTGAATGTACAATGTACAATAAAAGTTGGAAAAATGATAAGAGTTTAACATTTTAACTTCCATGCAGCTAGATGCACCAATACACCAATCCACATCAACAGATTTGTAATTTATTTAATAATATTTTGGGCCTGGGGCAGTATGTACCACACAAGTGAATAAACATATTACAAGCTGCCAACTGTTCCTCTGTAGGGAGAGTGCTTGAGAAGACTTTGTTCTGAGTCACATACTATGGGAAATATCTGTATGTAGGGCCACATACAGGATCTTGCTGGCCATATTTAACATATGGGTCCACTGATATTAGAAGAGGCACTTTTTCAGGTATTTGGGTTGTAAACCAATTAGGGCTTAACAAACAAATGTCATCATACTGAATAAGGCCCAGTCAGACACAGGCAGTAATAGTTTAAGGACTGGTGCTTATTAATAGTATTATTAATAGTTTAAGGACTGGTGCAATTAATATCCCTAGGGCTACCATATCTGGGCTACAAACATCTGGATGATCACTACACAGCAGCTAAGTGGTCATCCAGATTTTTGCAGCCCAGACATTGTAGCCCTGGCTATTCCACTTCACAGTCTGGGAACTGCGTTCTGCACCAGATGCAGCTTCTGAACTAGCTCCACATCATCCTAGCTAATTCATACATGGTTATTCATGTCATGTATGAAAGAGTTCTGAGTCTGTAGCAGATGTTTAGTTGGAGAACCCAACTCATGATCTTTCTGTCTCCTCTTTCTCTCTCCCCTTCCATTGCCTGATTTACTCCCATTGTTTCTAGGGTGCTTCAAAGTGGGTTAGAAGTAGAACGTTTGCGACTCAGGAACTTTTACCATTACTACCATTCCAAACGTGGCATGTGGAATTCACGCAGCAAGAAGACACCCAAAGACTAAGCACCAGCTCTGCCATCAGCTGGACCCCTACTCCTGGTCTTTTTTAAGCAGGGACAAGGAAGCAGCAGCCACCTTGGCCCCACAGTATGACCCAGCACAGTTTTTCTACTGCTACCGGTGGGCTTCTGGGTGCAGCATCTGTCAGAGGCCTGACCAAGAACACTTGGAGTGGAGGTTTTCTACAGAACTACTATTTAAAGCAAACCATGTTTACTTTGGGATTTTTTGTGACTTTTCTTAAGGGGTCTAATTTCTTAGTCAGCAATTACATTTATTAACTCAGTAGTGCTGAAAGGCAAAGATTACTGCTAATAGGAGAGTGAGGTAAGCCCACCAGTATTACTGCCAACCAGGAACGAGCTGGTGCAGCTTCTCAAAGCTCATGTAACTGCCAGGAAAAGTTTATGACTGTTCTGTGGCTTATTTGCCCTTGTTTTAACTCCTAGAGTGAGCAGGGAAGGGGGAAATCTTCAATAGATCACAAACTGTTCGTGCTTGATGTGTCTAGGCCACGGCACACTTTCATGCCAATAGGAGAACCTGAAGAGAATTGAAAGGATTTCAAAGGGACATGAAAAGACTTGCATCAGGGGAGAGGTGTTCCAGTCTTTCTGGTCCAATTTGGGGGTTTTGTTCCCTGCTAGCTCTGCTGCTTTTGCTGCTCCAGCCCCACAGTTACACTGTGCCTCACGCATACAATAGAATTATAAATAGCCACCCCCGATCCTGGGGAGGAGGTGGAGCAAATGCATTCCCTTGCACTTTTCCTCCACTGGGAGACACCCAACAGACTCCCAGCAGGAGGATACCTTCCAGTTAGAAAGATATAGAGGATGTGGAATTGGCAAAGGAATGGGAAGCAGAAAGAGTAGCTGATTCCCTCTTCTTTCACAACATAGTTGCATCCTCTTTATTTTTCTTTCTTCATCTGTTGCTTGGTATGGAGCAAGACTGGCTGCCTACAAGCATGAGAGACAGAATATGTTTAGTATAAATGTTAGCAGAGAAGCAAAGGTTAAACAGAAATCCTGGGAACATAGGAATTCTGGGTTGTGATGGGCTTACAATAGGAGTCACTGCCCATATTTCCCCACTCAGTGCCATGTTAATGGAGCACCCAACACAATAAAAAAAACCCACATCCTTTTATTTGAGAGAGACAGAACCTAAGAATGCAGAGTAGGGGCTGAATGAATGGACTTGGTAGGAGGCGTCTGACCATGTTCCCCCCCGCCCCCCACAATTACTATTTTTGGAGCAATCTTCTCTCTTTATATACAAATGCATCAAGTATGGAAGGTGAATGAGGTTTCATTACTCTCCGGTTTCATCTTTGGTCTGCTGTGGTGGGAGTATCAAAACAGGAATGGAGAGAAGGGCAAAACAATATTTCCAAGATAATTTCTGTGAAATTATGAGGTAGAAAGCTGTTTTCAGAAAGTTATGTCTGATTTTTTTTAATGGATATTGTTATTAAAAAAATAAAATAAATGTCTTGGTTCTGATTTTCTCAGGCTTCTGTTTTGTAAATGCATTTGATGTCATGGTACTAGCAGGATGCAGAGTTTTCTTCCTGCAGAGATCCAGACAAGACATGCAGTGTTGATGGGACTTGTCTGGCAGGCTCCACAGTTGCCTCACACAAATCACCAGAAGGGTTTCACCCTCTCCCAGGTGCTGTTGCACCCAACCAGCTGCAGCCCTATTCTCATAGGGTCAGGAATAAGTCTCATTAGTCCTATTTTCATAACATTCTTAACTGGGTCAGGTGAGCATATCATGACAACAGTAAACTCAATCAGCCCTGGGATTAATCTTTGGCCCATACAGCCCCAAGGGTTGGGACTAAAATCCCTCCCCCAGGTCAGCCTATCATGCAAACAAACTCAAGAGGGTTAATCTAAGGCTAACCACTTCTTTCTGCCACCAGAACAGAGACAAACTCTAGAATGACCCCATTCAAAACATGTCTCCATTTTGTTCCCCTTATCCTGTAGCCATATTGAATGAAACATTGGTAGAAATGTTATATATATACGTGCATCAGGAAAAGATGAGCTGGCTCCTCACATGACTGGAGCATCTGGAATGGCCTACTGGCAGTGGCAGGGAAGGAGTTTCCCTGAGGGAGCAGCTGACTCAAAAGTGTTTTGTATATATGGCCACTGGTTAGAGCAGTTTACACCCAAGTAAATATACATGAAATATATTTTCACCTGAAGAGATACAGAAAACATAGTATCACACATAGAAGTGTGATACAATGCTCTCTGGTATGTAGATTCAGGTAAAATATTCAGGCCATCGCCCAATTGATGAAACCTTAATCAGGGGAATGTAGATTTATTGAAACAATCTGTAAAATTTATTTACAAGAGTCTTCTTCCATTGGTTGATAAGAATAGATGCTGTTTGAAAAGGGTATCTTCGGGAAAAGAGCAGGAGATGCAACTGTGCAAATCTTTCTGAAAAGGCTTTAAAAACTCACCATGAAGATAGCTTGTTGCTTCAAACTGCTGTTTGTAATACCTAACAGGAATGCTCTTTCTCTTTCCTTTCCTGCCCAGTTACCTCTTTTCTTCTTATTTTCTAGTTTTTTCCCTCCTTCTCTTTGGCAGGGAGTGAGGGAAAAATGTCTGGGGCTGTATTTATATTGTCTTTTTTTTTTAATGTAAAAGCAGTTTGCGTGTGTGTGTGTGAAAGAGAGAAAGAGTTGGAAGCGCAGATGGGGAATCCATTTTATTTATGGAATACCTTATTTTATAGGCAACTTTGATCAGTGATATTCAGTGTTTTGTTTTGTTTTTCCTGGACCCACCAGTTTTGGGAGTATGGTTTCTGTATTACAGCTTCGGGCAAGGAGGTGTATATATGTGCGAGGCATGTTTTAGCAGGAATAAACAGGCCAGGATCTAACTCAGAAGTGGACAAGAAACCTGTCCGCTTCCTTGGGTTCAGCAGGATCGAATTCCCCCCAGATAACCAGCAAGACTCAGCCCCCATAACCTTCACTGGTTCTGCCCTAAGGCTGGAGTCCAACGCAGAGCAAATCCAAGCGACTTTATCCATTAGATGCACACCATATTCCTCACAGCGACCTTGTAGCTAAATCCCAGTATTATTCTCTCCAAGGAGGGTCACCCAAAACAGGGCTGCTGGGTGACTATCTGTGGATGCAATAAGGACAGAGAAATAATTACATTTTGCTGCCCTTACTGCCACAAGGTAGGCTCTAATAGCAGCTCTAGCTCATGTTCAATTGTCTTCACTCTTGGTCATTCACCAGCTCTTTGTTGTTCACATGTCAAACAACTAAAGATAGAGCGGCTCTTCTAGGAATGATCCTGCCCCTAATTAGTGTTTATTTTACATTTTGTTAGAGGAAAGCTACTATCACTCTGAAAACAAACTATGGATACTTTAAACAATCCCACCTCACTGCCAATTGTTCCATCATGAGGAAGAGTTCCCAATGGCTGCATGAAACCATATTAATGAATAAATCTCATTAGTGTCCAGAGGCATTTGGCTGCTTCTGTTTCAGAAAAGGTCTCAACACTGGTCATGGCCTGGTTGTGGTTTCTAGGGAGCTAAGCTGCTTTTCTCCTTCAACTCACCTTCAGGTATCCACAGCTGTTCATTATTATTGATTGTTGTCTCCTGGGCTTTCAGAAGCCATGAGTGGTGTCTCTTCCATGTGTGGACTTGATCTAATGCAGCTCTGAGCAAATTGCTGAGGTGCACACCATATCCCATCAAGTTACTTTTTGAACCTTTAGGTTAATATCAGAATTAAGTCTCCAAGAGTTCTTGGGTAGGGCGGATCCACAATTATAGTAGGAAGGATTATCCACTTTCCACATCCCATCTCAATTACTTAGAACAGGGTTGGGCAGCCTGTAGGCCACATATGGTTCCTCAATGCTTCATCTGTAGATCCATAATTCCCCCCAGAGAATGGGGAGCCTTTTCTATTTGGGCTTTGGGCTTAGTTTCATGAGAAAAGTAACTGTCTTAAGCCCCTGCAAGAATTAAGGCATCATGTTTGGTCTTTACCTCCTTCTAATTCCTAAAATGAAAAGAACGGGACTGAAATTTCATTCCTACCTGTCTAGCAATCCCCCCCCCCCTTAGCGTATAGATAGGGCATTTTAAAAAGTGCACTTCTTCCTTGCCTATAATGTTCACTCACCTCTGACTAAAATGGACCTTATTCACTATTTAACTAGCTAATTCTTGCAATCCAGTTGACTTGCCCAGAATTCTCTGAGCAAGGTCAGCCTAGACATATCTATCTTAAAAGGAATATGATTTGAACCAGTGCAGGTGTTACAATCAGAGCTCATACAATGGAGGTTGTTTAAATGGACAAATTAAGAGTCCTCAGTACCCACTGAGTACCTAGGGATCAGGAACTGATATTGTCCTGTGGGTCAGGTAAGCATTAGGTGGGCAACCCATAGGGGCCTACAATTGAGGATTATCAAACCTTTGTTAAATGGCAAAGAACATAAACATATTTTCCATTAGTGGAATGGAGCCAATCTGTACCCCTACCTATTTAAGGCAATCAGGAGGCATCCTGGTTTGACTCTCCCACCTACTGAAGATGGGAGGCTGGGAAGGAGAGGTCAAGAATGGAATGGTCAGGCTGCTGAGTGGAGCACATGTGGCATTTCTGCTGAAGCAACAGTACTAGCTGCCAAGGTACTACTTAGCTAGGCTCAAGGTTTTGCTTATAAAGCCCAAATCACCTTGGGACCAGGATCCTTGATAGACACCTTCACAGATCTTGTCAATCATCAGAACGCTTGCTGACCTTTGCAGAATACCATCATGCAATGATTTATGGGAGGGACTTTTTGTGATGGCACCTGTCCTCTGGAACGATTTTCCCCCTGAAATCCAGAAAGTGCCTATTAAGTATTTTAGACACCTGTCAAAGACCTTACTCTTCACCCAAGCCTTCCCTCTATGAATGTTGGATGAATGCCTCTTTGGTTAATTGATTTGTTTTCCTTTCTCCTGCCCCATTTTTAAAAAATGAATATTAAAAATAGTTCTAATTCACTGGTTTTAATCATTGTGTTTTAATTATTTGTAAACTGCCCTGAGATGCAGCTGTAACTTAATTAGCCTTCCCCAGTAGCATTGCCAGATATGTTGGCTGGCAAATCTCATCATTCCCCAAAAGCCTGGCCACTGGGTGATGAGAATGGGTTTACACTAAGCAATCCCAGTCAGCAGCTTGGACTTCTTCACTGCAGTGGGAAGACTGCTCACCATGGCTACAACTTATTTACTAAGGGACAAAAAGTAGATGAAACAGAAGAGAATGAAGCAAACGGCCAAGATACCATTTCAAGGGCAGGGTGCTGGACAGAAAAAAGTATCTGGCCCTAGCAACTGCATCAACTACTACTATAATTAGCAGCCACCCATGTGCTGCAGGAAAAATGACACAACTGAAGTCAAGAGAGAGAAATAAAGGGGTGGGCCTTAGCATACATATTGTGGACTGTAGCTTCCAAGGATGGGAGGCACTTGTGAGAAATTGAGAAATGAGTAAAAAGCAAAAAGTGAGGTAGCAGCCAAGCAAGTGATATCTGTAGAGATGTTTCCTCACCTATCGTGTTCACCACGTGGAAGCATCAACAGCTTGGAGGGTTTATTTTTTTAAAAAGATACTCAGCTTCTGAATTAATAGTGCCTACTCTTCAAACAAACAAACAAAAATGATATTGAGTGGGTGAGGAATGTTTCCAAGGCGTTAGCCAACTGCTGGCTTGCAAAACCTCAAAAGGCAGATAGACTTACCCAGCTCATTCCCTTCCTCTCAACTAATATTTGTACTCTATACTACAGATCTATCCTTTTGAAGTAAGAATTAGATGAAGATTTTACAAGCTGTTTTTGTCTTTTAAGTGTCTGATGCATGGCAACACCATTTATAAAGCATCTAAACCTGTGTTCTAGGCAGAGTTGTGTGAAACCATGCATGTGTGGAAATATCTGGCACCTGAAACTGAAGTGTGAAACTGCCATTGAAGGATGGATAGGAGCAACAATCAAGTCTTGCTAAAAGCTGAACAGAGAACTTGATTTTCAGTGGAACTTAATTGCACTGGTCCCAGAAAATAAGGTTTTTCATATGTCCTTTTCTCTGAAAAGGGAGAATATGGATGCATGTGTTTAGAAGTTTTTCTTGCTCCTGATAGGTACTATAATACTAATCCAGGAAAAGTGATTTGAGAAACAGTACCTGAGGCACTGGAGAATTCCACTAGAAAATCACACCTTGAGCATTTGGAGAGGATAGATTTTGATTTTAGTTCAAATAAGCAAAAAAGACTGATGCCCATTCTGTTCAGCTGTCTCACAGTAAAAAAATAAGAATATTCACTTGCTGCTAACATTGTGCATATAC